TCGTCACTGGTCTAGGACTGCTTCGGAGCTTGACAGAGAGCGAGTGAGTGGCACATCTCCCACGAAAAATATTAATCTTCTTTGACAGTCTGTTCTGTATCGCTGATGATGACGATAGCTGCGAGCCTCTGGAGTGCCTTTTGGCTCAAATGCGAGACACAGGAGGTGCTGGACTATCAACTGATCACCTATCAGTTAAAGGCTTGGTACGCATTTTATTTTCCGAGAGACGAATCGCCAATGTGATTTCTTCCAGATGGTGAAGAGCAAGTCGTGCGCCTCGGTTACTTCGAGGCGGCCGATTAGTCGCCAGACGGCTGATGATATACCGGAACTATCGATGGAGCTTTCCCTCGCTGTTTCGTCCGGCCACCTGGTCGGTCTCAGCCCGACTCCAACCGCTGTCTGCGCACCTGAAATAACAGGGGAGGCACTTCCGAGAACATTGGACTCAACTGCTATCGCCTTTCACGAGGTGAAGGGTAAACTTCTTGATGAAACGGCGAAGGACGAGTTCGCAGCAATGCTTTTCGAAGTGCCTGCACCCCAAGACGGCCATGCCACCTTGGAACGTGGGATAGATACTTCAGGGCCGAAGGGCGCCACATGCAGGATGTACCCAAAGTCAGAACGAAGAGAGTACTCGGCACCGATTGTATACACGAGAAAACTGCCACCGATTCGCATCCCTGCGAGTCACAGCCGAGGCACTCATTCTCTGTATAATCGCGACACTACACATGATGATCGAGAACCCCAACCGAGAGATGTGCGGAACGGAACTGGCGTGTTTGGCAAGCGGGAGCAGCGACGTGGCCGAAGCAATGAGTTGTCTCCAGAAATCCCAGCCACCTCGGGCTACCGAACAGGAATGTCGGCTAGGCCGAATAGTAGCAGATCATTAAGCAAGAGGAAATCAGCTATTCTCCCTCCGGTGTCTTTCATGAGAGGAGATGATAATCGTCCGACGCGTTCCAGGTATAAACGTCGAGCAACCTCCCCCGCTCACATCAAGACAGACGAGTGGACATTGGGCCAAGAACTCCGACCGGGGGACACTCCTAACCTCAAAGAGCCGTCTAAGAGGGTCAAGACGGTCCTGCCAAGGCTCGTTCGGGTGGAAGAACCGCCTCCGTTGAGTGCGAGGAGCAAGGGCCCTCTTTCGACTGCAAGAACGGCTGTACCAACTGCGAGACCACACAACAGCATCGATTCTCCAAGGCATTCTCGAAATGTTGCGTCTCGGAGTGTGAGGTCCGATGGCCTCGAGAGAAACATCCATGGTTGACTTGGTATGCGTTGTTGGAGAAGGAGAGTTTTGTGTTCGCAGTTGGAAGGGTGGGTTAGGATTTGTAAGCTTAGCAGATGGAAACCAGCGTCCAGCGTCCAATGTCGAATGTCAATCTCTTGATTAGTCTGAGATTAGTAGGCTACATTCACTGATCCGCAATCTCCGCCGCAACCGCACAGGAAATCCAGCCTTAGTTGGATGACCCCTCGGTTGTCTAACCCAACACTCTACAGTCAGAGAAGTTTGGTTCCAAATTAAGGAGTGCCCATCATCGGAATTGTTCATCTCACAACTTGAACACGATACTCCAAATTTATGGCTTGAACATCGTCGGCGAACTAACAAACGGCGATATAATAATGCACGATACACTTCATAATGATACAAAATCGTCAGCGTCTTTGAGCGACCGCCGTAGCTGTCGGCGCCGTCTCTTCAAAGGGTTTCTACTGACCCTAGGTGGCGGCAAGGAGTTGATAACTACCTCCTGGTATGCTCGCGAACCTTGCTCGGCAAGTTGCTTCCTTGAGGCAATGCAAGGTACGAAGATCCATTGCCATATACGAGACCGAATTGACTTCTTCGTACAACTCACAGGCGAGCTTACTGCTTGTGCGAGAGAAACCTTGGGGCTATCGTTACCACTAACAGCAGAGTAGAAGCTGGCAACACTGTGTTCTCTTTCCAGTTCTTCCTCGTCCTGACTCTCGAAGTGCGCCGCCCACTCTCGGCTGAGAGTTCTATGTGCTAAAAGCATGTTCATATAATACTCGTTGTTGATTGGGTCCTTCAATGCAATGCGGAATGGCTGAGGCCCGAGCATAGACTTCAAACAGGCACCGGATACACCGAAGACGTTCCGTATATCCCAAGTGACAAAATCACAGTACATAGAATAGTAGCAAAATGTGTACACTTTATCAGTTCTGAACTTGTGCTTCATTGGGACACTTCCTTTCAAGTTCTCATTGGAGCAAATAGCCGGGATAGCCGGATCGTCGATGTCGTGCTCCAAGATAGTATCCGCGGACTGTAATGGGAACATGAAATACGTTGCGCCGTGATCACTCTGTCGCTTGCTGCCAAAATTGCAATATAAATGAGAACCCCGAGCCTCCGCCAATCGGGATGCGACTTTGAGAAGAATCCGCACTAGTGTACGGGTTGCAAATCCCAACTCTGGAGGATCGTTGTCGACCTCTAGGCCAAACCGCAAGTCGGACGGGACCTCCTTCTTGAACCGACCTTGCCATCGCATCTCCCAACGCCTGGCAAACAAAGATACTTATCTAATGGAGTCAGTCGCAGCCACTAACCTTCTCTTGGGACCCAGATAGTCGAGATAGCGGAAGGGTGTGCCATCTGGCCCTGGGGGTTTGTGCATGACCATTATGTGACCTTTGAACCAAGCAGTCTCGATAGGCATTGGCCTGAGGGAAGGATCCATCATATAGGACCAGTGTCCAATACAAGGGTTCTACTCTGCAGAATTAACCGTGAGTCGGCAACTCTCTCTTATCTTGCCGTCCAGAGACACATCATAGCATGCACCGTAGTAGTCGAATGTACTGCGAGGATCGACCTTCGAGTCATCCGTCTCCCTCTTCGTTGGTGAATCTAGTATGACAGGTTGGGTCATCTTGGGCTGTTTAAGATACTCTGTCGAAATAATCCACCGACGCTACTGAGTGCAGTCACTATCCCTCAAGGGTCGTAAAGAACTCAACAACAAGGTGTTATCCGCTTCCAACAAACAGCCTCATGATTTTCGACATCTACATCACGGTTACATGTGTCCACCTATCATAAGCGGCAACTGTCTGCCACTGCAAGGGCGGGTATTAGTTCACCTTATCGCTACTCGAAACCTATCTCCTCCTCGATCTCCTCCACTTTATGCTGCATCGCCATGATCTGTTGATGCAGCATAGTCTTCTCAGCTGTCGAGCGAAAATATTCGGATTCGTCGCTAAACGTCGGTGACAAAAGTACTCACTTTTCAATGTAGTAAGGCATTGCTGCAAGGAGACGTTCACTTTCTTCTGGTCGTCCACCTAAGCGAACGATATCATGCCTAGTAAGCTGAGGTTGCTGGCCCCCAATGAGCGGTCGAATACTGTTCTGGCGAGGTTAGTTGGTGCTTGGATATGAACGAGAGTGGCAGAAGAGTACTCACTTTAGCTTTGAGTTCCTGCTCTATCTGTTGCAGTTCAGCTTGGAAGAACCTGAGTACTGTCTCTGGAGTCCTCTGTAATGACCAACTCTATTACTTTTGTGCAGCATCCAGTTCTTTAACTAAGCCACGACTAGGTGAACAGGCCGCAGATTTCATACGGTCCAGGTGGGTTCGGTCCTCACCCAGAGCATCCGTCTGGTTCTGAAAGAAGTCTCAGCTAGCAGCGGATCCCTCCATCTCGCAAGCCCTCAGAGCTTATCCAAAAGCATCTATTCCACTTTTCCAAGACTAGGACGAGTCGACATTTCGTCCAGGCAATTCATGTTCGAGTCGACTACTACCTGCAGAGATTTGGCGATATTCTGTACCCGCAGCTTGAGGCCACTTGCGGTCGTAGAAAGTGCGCTCGCTGGTTGTGAGCAAACCACTATCCCCTTCTCAGATTGGTTCATACGGCAGGTAAAATGAACCTTACTCATCACATGGCCGCATATTGACCAACTTCACACTTCTAATCGGTGGAGAAGCTTCATTAGAAAGGATGAAGTGGCTCATCGTAGAGTGCTAGCACTTGGCAACGATGCTTGAGTGCCTCCTCCAGTGTTACTGAGCACGATGATGACCACAATAGCGATCACTACGAGGACGCAGAGGACCTGTACACACCTGCCAGAGCCGCGGGTGATGCTCAGAGACCCGATTGTCCATTGAGTAACTATACCTATCGTTGGCCGCCCCTCGAGCTATCTGTCCCATCACGTTTCGTGACCGCTGCAGGTTCGATTCAATGACATCGAAGTGATCTATGATCTATCGCAACATATCGTTGTCCACTCCCTCGTCGCCGTCCACTACCGTCTCAGCCTTTCCCTCCTGCTTATGCATCTCATTCAAAGTGCCTCGGCCGATCTCTTCAGCTTCAATAGCGACCGCTTTGGTCCTGACCCCTACATGTGCCGTTCTACTGTTACTATGCGTCTCACCGGGATACCGATTCCGCGGACTGATTCATTATAGCGTGGCCCAGCTCGATTGCTTGGGCGCTTGTCTGAACCTACGCCTACGTCAATCTGCTATTCAGTAATCCTCCATTGCTTGCAGGAAAGTACTTGCATTGGATCTTCCGTGCCCTCGTAGCTCGCCTTGTTCGTATGAGGTAAATCTTCGATACGACTTAGCAGGATCGATCTTCTGTCCATGTTTCGTTTCGCAACATCAATGGCTCTCCTCAGCGCGAGGAGGCTGATAGTCTACTTATCTTCAGGGAGACGGTTCACCATTGTTCTTTACCGTGAGCGACGCTGGTTGATTATCTCTCTTGGTATTTGCTCAAGAAGCAACGCCTCGACAGCCTCTTCGGTCTTGAACAACTGTCGATCCAGTCTTCGCCATGATTCGTGCGACATACTCTCCTTAACTGCCTGAATAGCGACCAACGTAGACTACCAATGAATTTTGCTCTCGGATTTGTCTATAATGTATATGGTGCATGCTATTGCACCCACCAGTTTAGTGACAGCCCTCTGGAGCTTCCCTAGCTGCCGGTCTGCCTCGTCTTCTGCTACATGCTCTCTACCTTCCATGAGTTGGTGCTCAGAAGAAATATTGCTCGCTCCGAATCGTTAACCCGGTTTACTCATCGGTATCGTTTCACATTGACAACACCACGAGAGCCTGCAATGCAGGAATATGCAGAAACGAATGTATTTCTGCAAAGTCGAACAGCGGCTTTTCGACCGCCGAGGAAGCTCGGGCATACATCTTAATCGGTGAAAAGGAACTTCAGTAGAAACCTGGCATTCCCCAATAGGGTTCAGTAGCCGCCTGAAGATAGTGTCGAATCCAATATCTCACCACTACGCATTGAAGTTGATTCTTGCGTCAGTTCTATCCTTACATGGCTTAGTATTCCATGCTCTTCTTAGTGCTCTTCTTCGGAAGCAAACTGGTGTGAATATTTGGCAGTACACCACCAGAGGCGATCGTGACGTTACTGAGGAACCTGAAGGTTCGAAGAGCTCCAACGAAGAGGGACCAACGTGTGGGAGTACTCAGCTTACTCATTGAGCTCATCATCGTTCCGCACAGCAAGCTGAATATGCCGAGGGTTAATTCTGGTCTTCTTATGGTCACGTGCAGCATTGCCAGCTAACTCCAATATCTCAGCGACCAAATACTCCAATACAGCAGCCAGATATACAGGAGCACCAGCGCCTGTGAAGAACGGACGTTGAGGGCCAATAACGGGGAAGAAAGTGCGCTCAAACTCGACTAATACTCGTCGGTCGGGCTATCGATAATGCGAGTCTACTAGAAACCCTCGATTGAGTCCATTAAATTGGCTCCGATGAACCGGAGGAAGCAGGTCTAGAAATTCGAGTCGCCGTCGTATTACCGACACGCTTGGCGTATCTGCCGTGCTTCATGTAACGTGCAATTCGACCAACAGGGAATTGCAGACCTGCCTTGGCGGAACGAGTCTTCTTATCTGAGAATATAAGGTTCGAATAGCGACACGATGATTGAAACGGTGTTGAGTCAGGTGTTGACTATTGTGTTGTGAGAGTCATACGGGAGATTTGACTAGCATCTATAATCACAACAATCCCATACAATCACGCGTAGAAAAGAAGATACGTGAGTGAGAGAGAGAGTAGCGTGATCGCGGTGTACTATTACCCTTGTGCATTCCCTCAAGGACGGCTCCCTTGCCTTTACCAGACATATGTAGGAATTATCTATTGAATAAAACTAGGTAACTGAAATGGTGATCAATCTTGGAGACGGCAAGAGCGAGCGCCCGATAGGAACCTCAACCACAGGCCATCCTCTAGATACATACGAATGCTCGCTAAAGAGCTCTTCGAACTCCGAG